GTTCTTGTTCATTTCCTATATTTTTTCTTAACATTGTTATAACTGATATAATAAGAATACTAGAATAATATTAGACAATAAATGTTTAAAAAGAACTACATACATTTCTACCAGGATAATGTAAACATTATTGTTCTAATGCTACATACTTAGTTGTCTTTAAAAATTTTAATGTAAAAAAATCTTTAAATCGTTAAATGTTAGGTCCTCTTCTTAGTTTTATAATCGAGTGAAGCGTTTCTCTGATCTCTTAACAAATTAATCGACCGTGTTAAAAGTGATTAATTGAGTGATAACTAGCACTACGCAGGTAGTATCGAAAGTTATCGATGTTTGACGATGTAGGCTCTTACTTCTCGCACCTACCGGTCGATTAATTGCCGTTAAAAATTAACTTCGGATGCGTCGTCGATCAATCGGGAATGATTCGCTTTCCCATCAGCCAAAGGGAAAAAAAGTCGATTGCGTTTTCCAATTCGCGCCATGCCGTCACGGCAGCATTTTCGTCCTACTTCCTCGTAACGGGCTTCTGAGTTCCGCTGGAAAGTCTTCAAATTAGATAAATAACAAATCAGAGAAATGTAATAAATAGAAATCAAAAACAAGATCATTAATCAAGCAGCTGAGAAATAATTTTTTAAATTTTTTGCTGTCTTCAGCTCAGTGCGTCTTGCGTGCAATAGATTGCGGAATATCACCTTAACATTGAAAATGAGTCTAGAAATCTGGGTAAAAATATCTCCGACAGATGTGGTCTATCACTGGTGGCTTTCGTATCCTCGACTTTTTTTCGTCGATAGTCGTCTAGTCAACTGATCGAGCGAGAAGAAAATAAAGACACATGTCCTCTCGAAAAAGATAGGATATTTTTAGCAGCTCATTCAAATTGCACACCCTCTCCGGAGACCTTTCAGACTTACTGTTGTTTATAATCAGCTTGTTTTCGTGAACAATTTCATGCTGCACCGATTTAAAAATAGATTTCGCCCAGGTTCTACATCAGTTAAATGGAAATTAACAAAGTTTTAATCTTTAAGTGGGTGGATGATCAGCATCCCTACTAACTATATAGATATAGTTTTTCTTTAAAACCTTATTTTGTGAAAAAGAAAAATAAAAGATACTGTCCAGAGTCTAGAAATCATTACTTTTACATTTCTCTATCTCATAAGAATATAACTGATGTAAATTTTTCAAATTTTTGGGATTGTTTTGAGCATCTCACTTATCAACTTGTTTACCTTTAAACCATCTACCTATCTAAAAGTTAAATCCTAATTTGAATGCTTGATTTACTTCGGTCTTAACCCTAACATCCTAAAATTCAGCAATGAAATATAGATTTCAATTAGGACCAATTAAGACTGGCAACCCCTATTGGCTGAATTTTAGTGTTAAGACCGAAACATAAACCAAGCATAATATGTTTCTCATTATCGTGTCTAAGCTCTTTGAAAGCGAGAGACCCCCAAAGAATCCCTCTAAGAAAAGGTCTGGAATAAACGGACGGATTTGCTAGAGTCCAAGGACCTCTATAGCTAGCGAACTAGGTGCCGAAAGACTTAGAGCGAGTCGACAGTCTAAGATGACAGGATCTGTCGGAGGAAGGGTCCAAAATTGCAGCAAGAGGCGAGGAGAGAAAGAGAGAAAGAGAGAGAGAGAGAGAAAAAAGGAACACGAAGGTGCTGATGCCAGGGCTACGCCCGCCAGCGAGTGCAAAGTGCTAAGTTCCTCGTAGTCGCAAGGCAAGGGTGGAGCCCATTATTAATGCGGGCCTAGGTCACGGGCGACGGAATGTCTCCTCGGCTGGTAGCCGCGGCTGGTTAGTTCGTAAGAAGGCCAGTGGCCGCGCTCTCGCGTTCACTATAAATAATCCGAGTGCGCGGGTATGTCCAAGTATAGCCTGTTGGGAGTGTGCCAGCCTCAGCGAGGAGGCCTCAGCTATTTTTGCGGGCTGTCGCTGCTACCAGCGCTACAACGCGCGACGGACACTCCGATCGCGACTGCCGATCCGGAGATGGTCCCACGATCTCTCCCTCCTGATAGATTATCTATATGAGCGAATCATGGGTCCCCTTTGATCTTCTCCTCTGTGCTCCTTTCCTCTTTCTTCACCTTCTCTTTAGATCGATATCTGTCCCACGATCTTTTCTCTCTCTCTCTCTCTCTCTCGATCTTTCTCGTGTTGTGACCTTGAGCGGCTCCGCGTTGCCAGATCGATTATGTCAATGCCGAGCCCCCACAGATTACGTGAATCAAGAGGAAAACAGGAGGAACCGGATGAGAAAAGCGGAGAGGATGGAGGAAGGGGAATTGCCAATTTTGGCAAGTTGGACTCACGTGCCGGTTTCACGGTCAGCCGAGAAACGAGGACTCCGCGGCTCGATTAATATGCGGATGACTCTTGCATGGTTTTGCGCGTTACCGGATGCACACTGATACGCGGATATTTTTATACCGGCTCTTGAATTCATATTGAATTGCAATGAAGCAATGGATGATGTCGTAAAGTATAGTATAGATGATACAGCAATGATACAGTAACTCAATCTCTTGAATTAGAAAAAAATAACGTTTCGTTTTAATTTCCATTATGTGACAAAATGTCATTCAATCCACATGTGTGATTAGTTTTAAAACGATGTATATTAACGTATATGCACTTAATAAAAAATAAACTAAATTGAGTCCTAAATAAACTAAACTTAAATTCAATTTAATAAATTTTCTTGAATTAAACTGTTTAACTTTATTGTTTAGTTATAAATTAACAATATATCGAGTTGGTGCAATTGCGATTATAGAAATGATTATTACAAATAACTCAAATAATTTCACATTATGAAATATAAATCTAATTTAATAGAGCTCTCAATCATTATTAAAAAATAATATTAAAATAAAGCCGGGTAAATGAGAACTGTTACGAAACGTTAATGTATTTATTAATAATAAACAATAATTGATACAGTAATATACACAAACAAGAACGTGTAACAGTGTCTCATTTGTCCGGCTTTATTTTAACATTATTTTTGACATTATGAATTTAATAGAGTACATCGATGAGAATATATACATGTATATTGATAATATAGCGCTGGAATCTGATAGTTGAAAACGTCCAATTCAGAGATGCATCGTTGTGCTGCGAGAACCAGTTATCAATCGATACCAGCATTTCATTCAAAGAAAAAAAGAACGAAACTTGCACTTAGGCAGGAAGCTCAAGAACTCGAGTTCAATATTAACTGCATGGAAAGAATGATTTTGTTGAAGTATTTGAACATTTAATTAAATATAGATTTAAAAATAATTTGGTTGCATCATCGAAATAATTATATATAGGACAATTATATATATGTTTAAACACTATAATACTGCAAAAAATTTTAATAATCTAACAAACAATTTGAGCATCTTACATATAATTATTTAGATAATCCAACAAATTATTTTCAGAACTAAATTTTTAGATACTTCAGCAAAGTTCATTTTTTCCATGTATTTTTATATTATCATAATTATAAACATAATTACATTTAATATATTCAGAAAACATGACATCTAAAAAATATTCTAAAAAGTTTTTAATCAAAATATATCAGTGTGACAATTTTAAAATATTTTATGTTTATCTTATGTCTTATTAAATTATGTTCTAAAATAATTTTTAAGATTTTTTACTTTATATGTGTGTAATTTTGATCTTTAATATTTTAGATTGTAATATAATTCTAAGAATCGCAATATATACTTGAAGTTTAAAATTTTTAATACAAGAATCGAAATTTAATAAAAATAATAAAATGAATTTTAAAAAATCGATGAAATTTCGGAAAAACATAATAAATAAGAAAATATGTATATTGTGTGTATATTACACTATCTAAATTCTAAGAATTTTTTTAAGAATTTCAAAGATCACAATATGAAGAGATTTCTAGAATTTCAAAACCATCTAGAATTTAAAAACTATAAAAATCAATAATTTTATGGAATTTTTGCACGATTCGTATATAAATATATAATATTATAATATTATAATAAATTAAAATAATATTATTAAAAATTAAATATATAATATTATAATTATTAATATATTATTATACATAAATAATAAATAATAAAATAATATATATATATAAATAATATATATATTTTCGTCTCTCGTTTATTATTAGACATCAAAGAAGCAATGACAAAACCCAAGCTCTTGATTTAAATAATATTTTGTTATTTTTAACTTTCATGTGCATGAAAGTTTAAATCAATCCATTTTTGTGGTTAAATTAAAACTAAACACATCATTCACATATACATAGACTAATAAATAATAAAATTAATTTGAATCAAATTTACATTTTTAAAAATTAATTTGTTTAACTCCATTAGTTAAATTAATGACAAACGTATATTGAGAAGCAGTGGATCTATAGAAATGATTAGAAAAAAACTTAAATTATAGTTTAACATTTTAACATTGTTTAAACGTTAAACATTCAATACTATTTCTGAAACGCATCTATATTCGTGCAATACGACTATTACGTCTCGCTGTCACGTCACTTCAAATCTCCCGCTTTCGCTTCAACTCGATATACTCCATTCGTCGTAACATCTTCCAGCGTCGCGTGCAATAGTGCAGTTGTCCAAGTTGTCGCCAGTTGACGCACAGTTAAAATCGCATTCGTCTCCGTAACTGCATCTAGAGAACAGAGACAGTAACCCCTTGTTTACATCCGTCTAAACGAGAATAAAAATTGTCACGTGTCCCGTTCGAGAATTTTGGAATCTGGACAAGTTTTATCGGACGCAGAATCGGCCGTCGCGCAATCGCGTTGTCGGCATTAAAGGGCGCTGCCGCTGGTGGGCTGGTCAGTGTCATCAGTGAGAATAGTGAGACGCTCGCGTCTGCGAATATTGTCAGACTTCAGAGTGTGATCCCGTGTACGTGAGATTCGTGAGGCAGGTGAGGCTCCTCCGGAACGGTCTTTGAATTCCTGCATCCACACACAACGGGTGGTGGCACGCGGTACGCCCATCCGAAGTGACACCGCGACGCGTCATCGAGTAAGTCCCGAAACAGGGCCCGTTGATCGGGTCGCTTCGGTCGAGATTGACATCACCGCTGTTGATTTTGGCACGCGACTTGTCAATGAAAATCGATCCCGAATTATCTGGGTCAGAGGCCATCAGCCGCATCGTTCGCCGAATTTAAACGCCGGGCACATCGATGCGATCGGATCAGTCGATCGCGATCGAACGGCCGGCTCTGCTCCGGCTGATAACGCCTCCGTGATAAGAGAAGTCGGTCGCGGCCGTGCCGACGACTCTCCCTGAGCGGGCGCGGCCCGTGTCGACGGCCTTTTGTGCCCTCGCCGACAACGCGCCCTTTGAATAATTGATTCCGGTCGACCGACGGGCGCCGTGATAATTACCACGAGACGTCGATAACGGCCTTCTCTCTCTCTACTCGCGTTGCCGAGATCGCTATCTGCAGGAACGTTTTATTATCACGCGATTGTATTGTCTTGACCACTTATCACTGAACGATTATTGCATGAGATTTGAAAGGGAGAAATTAGTTGAGATAATACTTAATTTCTGTACGAATAGTACAGAATAGTTTATCGGGAATAGGCTAGAATTTTGCAAAATGTCGAGGAGACACTCGGTTGTTGACCAATCACCATGGGATGATTTACAGACTTCTTCGTCGACCAAAACAACCACCATGACGACAGCGGCCAAGCTGTACGGCAAGGATCTGAGCGAGTATGATGACATTGACGTGGATCAACTGCTGGCAGAGCTTACGCCGGAAGAGCTTAATATATTGGCCAAGGAAGTGGATCCTGATGTAAGTCTGTTTACTTAAAAATACTATTTTATTATTCATTTGGGATACTGAATCTATGTTACATTTATACAGGACAGTTTTATGCCGCCCTCACAACGTTGCAGTTATGAATGCAATAAGAGTCCTACAGGGCCATTGAATCGCAAGAAGCTCATTGAGCATATCAACAAACAAGCTTTAGAGACACCTGATATTCCAGAACTGAAGCCATATGTACCTGGTGTAATTAGGGGCAAGAAAGTGAGTATCGGTAATGTCCCATAAATCGTTGCGTTGCAACGGCAGAAAAATGACACATCTCAAAATTAGGAACTTTTCAGTGGAGCCTTTGAAATTTTTGAAATTTTAAATAAAAACGTTTTAATTAGAATAATTAATATACAATTTCTATAACTTGATTTTCTTTCCATATTATATTTTTAATTAGAATGTATTCTTTGAAATTATATTGTTTTTTCAAATTTGAACATTGCAACTTTAGTCATGTCAATTTCACTCTTTATTAAAGTTGTATACTTTTCCATATAAATGAGTTACAAATGTGTCTTCTACAAGAATATATTAATTTTTAGAATTGATTTATTTTTATTATGTACAAAATGCTAATTTTTTACTTATGTTATTTTTGTATCAACACAGCGAAATATATAGATGATAGTTAATTAATTCTAGTCTTGTAGCCTAAATCTTGAAGCCTAAATTTGAGGTTATAGTTGTAAAAGAAACATGAAAGAGCTGAAGTCAACATTTCCTGGTGGAAAAAAAATTTACGAAAACGTACAGAAAAATTACATATATGGAGACGAGAGAAGATCTTAAAAATTCTTAACTTTTCGTAGATATTCTTAGTGGGACATAGAACAACGTTATTTGAGGGCGAAGGAGTTTTTCATATAAACATCGCAGTTCCACGTCCCACTACGAATATCTACGATAAACCCATAATTTTCAAGATCTTGTTTCAATCTACACATATAGATTTTCGTAAAAGTTTTTCCATCAGGGTCTAATTGAATAATACTAGTAAAATAAATTTTGCATAAGATATTGGATAATCGAATTATATATACATCATATTACATTATTTGTTTTAGTGGGTACCTCCGCCACAAGACAACACGAAAGAAAAGGAGGCAGACGAGCAGATCGCGATAGATCTTGGTGAAGAGTATGAACAAGCGCTTTCGGCCGCCACCCAAGAAGAAATCATTGATCTTGCTGGTAAGAAGATTGATCTTTTCTGAAAGCCCTTTGTATCAGAATAGAAAGATAAATAATCGAGACTATCTTTTCCATCCAGCTATTCTTGGATTTCATTCTATGATGAATCAAGATCAGTATCACGCATCTTTACTGAATTCTGGACAGCCAGTCGGGCTCGGTTGGGATGGTGTGACGAAAGCTAGTCAACCGAAAATTTATCCGATGGAACCGCCTAATGATACAGACGTTGACGCTACCATTAAACAAGTGCGAGACGATGATTCCTCTCTAACTGATTTAAATTGGAACAATATTAAAGTAAGTATCGTCGATATTATACTTATTGTAAGAAGAGAACTATGTTTTATGCTAAATTAATGCTGGTCTTGTTACAGAATATTTCGGACGAAAAATTCATGCAGTTGTTCGAAGGTTTGGAAATGAACACACATCTCGAATCGCTAAGTTTAACCAATGTTGGACTCAATGACAAGACCGCGCAACGGCTAGCCGATGCCATAGAGAAGAATTCGACACTCAGAGTACTCAAGTATGCACAAAAACGATATATTTTTATGCACAAAATTTACATGTTGTTAATTTTTCATTGTTTTAATGTAAAAAAATATTTTTCTTCTTCAGTGTGGAGACAAATTTCATAAGCCCGCCTGTGATAGTAAGGCTGATCAGATCCCTTCTTAAAACAAAATCAATCGAAGAATTCCGATGTTCGAATCAGGTAGATTGTCATGTAAACTTACGTGCACAAATATTTTCTGCAAGAATAGCGATAATAAGATCTAACGAGATATTCGCATCATTTTTCAGAGGTCACAAGTATTGGGTAACAAAATTGAGATGGAAATCACACAATTGGTAGAACAAAACCCGACGTTGTTACGACTCGGGTTGCATCTGGAGTTCAATGATGCTAGACATCGCGTAGCTGCGCATCTGCAACGCAACATCGATAGGAGTAAGTATAAAAGAGTATCGCGATGTCGATATGATTAATAATATTCATTATAGCTCAAGTAGCTTATACAGAACAAACAAAATGTATCACTTTTAGGAATGAAAAAGTGTTTTAGAAATAATTGGCATTGATTGGCGAAGATAATTAGCATTAATTTATGTACTTGCATAGCCAATTACAAACGTAAACAATCGCTTCTAATTATATTTTAGCGTGAATTATGATAGAAACATTTTGATAGAGATATCATTACGGAAATAGCTGTATGTGTATGTCTTAGAAGGTTGAAATAATTGTTCTACACTTTTACAAGTGCGACGCTCCATTCACGGGTCACCGCACAATAATCTGAACAGGTGTCACAAATTACGTTAGCAGCGCAATGAAGCGTTTCACGAACGCATTACGTAGATACCATTGTTTCTATCACTATTATAATTGTACTATTAATTTTTCATTTAGATGGGAGCAATTGTATGGGGGACTATGGAGACCACGTGACGAAATGCTTCTAACCTTTCCGAATCTGCTTCGTAGTCTCAAATAGTGCTTTACTATAGTACATTTCATCATTCATCCATTCATCCCGCTATATTCATTTATTATTTTTCTAGTTAGTGACATATAGAGGTAATTATGAGATTTCCCAGCTTGTTCCTATTCAAGTATGGAATTTTCTAATTTCCGACACAGTGTTTTTCAAATCCTTAATTTAAAATTATTGAAAATATGTGAAAGATATTTATGAAGCGATATACAACATATCTTAAAAATGTTCATTTTTATTTGAAAAACGCTGTTTTTCTCCTCGAATAACATAGCTATTTCTTACGTTATGTTTTGAATCCTTTTACTATTACTTTACTATTTGTTTTTTTTATTACTCCCTATTTAATTTATATCTTGTCCTCACGCGCTTTTATTAAAGATAAAAGATAAATGTATTAAGCGGTGCATCAGATGATGATCTGCTTGTTTTTCAATTTTCAGTGAAGCACAGAGAAGCGAAGATTAGGGTAGTTTAATTTGGTACGAATTTATATTGACCAATTTTCTTTAAGTCTTTAATCAAACGGCTTGTAACTCGACTAACTCGACATCGGACTTACGCTTAATCGACGTTAAATGGCATAGCCGTTTCATGCTCTTGATTATTTAACAAGACGAAGTATTTATGTTTTCGCAATTGATACGCTTAAATTGTGCTGATAATTTACCCGTTATCGCTTATTGTCAAATAGCATTGCTAAACACATTAACAAACAGTGTCCGCATTATCTTATCGCATTAATGCTCGTTTCTATCAATATAGATTAAACTTTAATCTCGGTTTAACTTACTCTTTATACTTTTCTAATTCTTAAAGCTAGAAAAAGATGAAAAAGTTAATTGAGCCAAGTTTAAAATTGTATTAGTAGAAATGGGAAATTAAATTTCGTTTGGAAATTTAATTTCCAAACGAAATTGGAACCTAATTATCTAAATTATAACCATATTCTCCCTTTCTTTTCCTTTATAGCATACATCATTACAAAAATTATTTCACTGAGAGAAAGTTTTTGGTTTGATTGTAATTACTGCTCCATAATTATAGTTATTACTGCTATAATGTTAGAAATAATAACTATATATATAGTTATATCAACAAATATATATATATATATAAAATTAAAATTATAATATAAATTATTATTATTATAAAATGGTTGCAGCTACTATATGTATTTTAACTATGCAATTATTATATTTTAACTATAATTCATATAGTCATGTTTTGGACCAATTATTTTTTCTGAGTGTTCGCAGAGACTGATGCATATGCTCTCGTACATTTTTATCACAACTCCGAAATCCTTAGAAAAGTTACAGAAATTATAAGAATTATCCTTGTTTTATTCTACATTGTTCTGTCGAGTCTCAAAAATTCAGTCCCGTAATTTGAGCAAACGATTTAGATTATCATTGATTTTAATCCTTTCGTTTATCTGGCTAGTTTGTCGTGTGGAACCTATGGAACGAGCTAAGCTTGTAGCGATCGCTGGTGGTCCTGCAGCTTTCACCGTTCTTCCCACAGATGACTTAAAAAATAGAGCGTAGCGCTGTTGCAGCGCAGTGAGTAGCTTTCTTATAAAAAATGAGCTCGTATTTCCCCATAACTTGTGATAACTTATTTCTAATATTTCGATTGACCCTTTGTACTCTATAACTAATATTTTATTTGTCGTACGACACATTTTTTTAAGTTTTGTTAATTGGCTACAAGGTGGAGAATGTCTGGAAATTCGAGAACTTCTCTATATAGTCAGTTAATATGAAAATTCATCGTTTTAATATATTTTTAACGTTAAGAAATCTTGCGTGTAGAATATTAGCTCTTGAGAAATCTCGATTTTCCAATAGAGATAAAGTATCATTTCATATATGTATATATTTTTTAATGAGTGCAAAGGAATGAATCAGTTTGACGAATTCTTAGTTATCATGACAATCCTGAATCTTATCGATTCTTGTTACTTAAATGAACGTTAGAAACAAGAATTGTTTTTTTGGGTTTTATATGCATTATGATCTAAAACTTTTGTGAAAAAAGTGTCACGCGTAACAATAATTACTTCCCAAGTCTAATCATTGAGCGAATGCAACGATTTATTCCCTACATTCCCTGCAATAGGATCATGCGATTCAAAGACCGAATACATAACTAACATTGCATCCCTCTCGCAAATCCGACCCGCACGATTTTATTTTGCATTGTCGACATCATTTCCCTTTGCTCTCCTTTCCCGTTCAACTTTCTTTTTAAGTTCGACTTTTTTTTACTTTTAACACTTCAACATACTATCACAGTACATACGACACGTGGATGATGAGGATCTAGGTTTCATTGTTCGAACCCGGCGTACCTTGACGAGATTGCATTTTGTATAGACAGAATCGATGGGCCACCAGTTCCCCCGTGTTCTATATGTCATATACGCCAGTCCCCTTTATTTATTTGATGCACATGTAGGTGTTCAGGCGTGTCACGACGCATTTGCGTCCCTTTTACTGCAAACGGTGTCGATATCACGTTGCAATGGTCTACTCGACTCGCAAGATTGAAATGAAAAGCTCATGTCGATTCTCGATATTTCAAACGACGTTGTTGACGTGCATTTTTCATTTTTAGAAAGTTTCTATGGTTGAATAGTACCTTTGAGTACACCTCTGTGCCATTTAAAATTAATTATAGATAATTGATGTTCTGTTTACCTGAACTTCTTGCACAGTTCGTCTTTTTCCTTTTTTCTCTTCAACACAGAGGAAAGAAAGAGAGATGAACTGTGCAAGAAATTCAACTATTATAAAAAGAACAGGCCTCATATCTTGCCGGTCGAGTGCCCCAAGATCTCTCTTTTATCGTAAACGTTTGCTGTCCGCATTGAAGAAAGTCTGGTAATGGCTATCAATATTGAGTAAAATAATATTCGATTAATATAATCAAAAATACTTTTATTGTCTTAAATATTTAATTAGATATTATCAAACGGTTGATTATATTATTATGTTTGGTAATACTTACTTTACTTGGTAAATAATTAGGAAAGTAAAATTATTTTGGTTACATTAACCGAAGAATTTGATTGGCATTAATTCACTCGAGATCTGATGCTATTACCAAAGTTTTTCTTTCTGTGCGTGACTCTGCGAATCCAAGCTGGCGATATATGTTTTAATACTCACGACACCTATTCTTTCCCAACAGTACGGAAAGATCTAACGCTGCGGCTACAGTTCCGATTCTTTAACATGAACCACAGGAAACCTGCCTTGATTCAATGAAAGGTAGCTACCCGTTGTGTGGTAGACCGTCAGTCGAATGAACCGCACTTCCTTTCTCCTTACGGGGAAGGTTTAACCAACGCCAATGCTATTTTTGCAGCTTCACTAACACAGCTTTTTAGACAAGTCGCGCCGCGAGAAAAGCATACAATCGCTCAAACACGGCCGCGAACGGAATACTCGTCGGATCGTTCGAGGAACAAAGCACGAACAGAGCGATGCATGGTTTTGCATTTGCGTCATTCCGTTTTATACATTCTTGGAGACGGATTCGTCGGATTCGATCTCGACGTCTTATTTTTCGAAGTCACGCGATCGCGAATATAAATGCAAATAGCAACGTCTTATTCTTTCGCGGAAGCAAAATAAAATCAATATAATAAATTATATTTCGCACGGAGAAAAATGGTTGAATAATTTTTATCTTACAAAATATAGTAAAAATATTCTGGCTATTTTTGCCGAACTTATGACCAACTTTACTTGCCTAAAAATACCAGATAAAAAATATATAAGAGATAAAAAATATATTCATACGATTATAGTAGAGCCGTCCAAATGATTATTATCTTACAGATAATAAATTATTATTCTCAAGATAAACACTGATAAGCGCGAGAAACTTTCAAGACTTTATTTACTTGTATTTTTTACCGCGCAGTAAAGTAAATTTTGTCAACGCTTAGGCAAAAAATACTCGTCGATAAAATAAATTTTATTGAGATTTTATTGTAATTTATAGATTTACTTTATGAAATGTAAAAGATGTATCTTACAGCTCTATGTAAAGCGCTTATTTATCAGAAAAGTAAAGTAAATTTTACATAAATATGCGTCTGTCGCTATAATAAATTTGCCAATTCCATAAAATTTACTAAAATTGTACATAAAAAAAAATATTTGGTTGAATTAATTGGAATTCTGCTGGAAAAAATGAATGATTCAGAATTCTGGTTAAGTATACTAGATTTCTGATTAAAAATATTACAATTCTAGTAGATTCAATCAACACGCAAAAAAATATTTTGTTGCTCCAATTAGAATTATTTCTATTTTTTTTATATTTAATAGATAACTACGTATCATACGCATAGAATTTATAGCACAAATCTAAATTCTATCTTTGTCATCTATATAATTAGATGCAATATGTATCCAATATCGCAATAGTTACTAGAAATTTATTTATTTTAGCTAATTTTTCGTATTTGGATAATTTTCGCTATAACTGCAAGATCGCATCTTTTTTGAGTTTTGAAAGAAATTCTAAATTAATTATCTCGTACAGAATTCTAGAGGATTTAATCAGAAATCTAATAGATTTAACCAGAATTCTGGGATCATTTTTCACTAGAATCCCAGTTATTAATTTAACCAAACATTTTTCTACGTGTAGCACATATTTACATTTTTCTCGTTATTACATTAATCATTGCCGAATAATATCGAATCAGATGTTAACTTTCGCTCATCGAATTGCGACGTAGATTGCGTGACTTTTCATGCATCGTGCGGTTTGATTCACGCGTAGCATCATTATTATACTTATAGCTGCACCTGCCTCGACAAGCGATGCAATGAGGTTTAGACGCATCCTATCAAATCCGATGAAGTCGTGACGCGTTAATTTCCACGGGAGCTGAGATTCCTAGGAGCTTTATTCGCCTCACGTGACGTCCTGTCGGCATTAACCCGTCAGCTGGAAGACAGTTTAACACACGCCGACGTTGGCGCAACCGAAGCTGACTGACGTCTTATAGAATGAATCGCGTCCGAGCTATTCGCGGGGATCTTTTTTGGCTCGAGTATCGTTCAATTATACACGCTTATCCTTCAGAGAGGCCGACTAACGAGTCTAATCGAGCCTTTCCTGTAAAAAGGATGAATAATCCTCTTTTTCTTTCCTTTCGAAATAATTTGTTCCAATAACACGTGAAAAAAAGCTAGCGTCGGGTAGCTTTATGACAAACATATCGACAAACTTTTTAATATTTTTTAATTTATGTAATTAAAAAAATTTTAATGCAATTTAATCGATTCTTGAATATTGTTCTTTTATTCGCGTTCAAAATTCCCGAGATACCGAAATACGACATTAATTATCATTAATTTGTGGAATCGTCGGAGTCTTTTTTTAAGGTCGCTCTTATTTTTAAGGATTTTTTTCTTTCATTGATTCAATTGGGTCTGACTTTAGAATTTTACTAGCTCCGTGCGAATTCGAGTTGCGTGTGTATTATCGTGTTTTGCCTCGCACGAGATTTTATGAGGTGCTAATGCAGATCAGCGCCGGGTGTCATAACGATGACAAAACGACGCGTGGTGTACGGCGGCATTATTTTTAAAATGCAAAACGTAGGGACTGCGAGAGAGAACAATCCACTCTTTCATCGGGGATTAACGACGCGAGCCAACGTTAATGAGCCCGCGAATGTTCGCACACCCGGCGCAAAATTACTAATATTTATTCGAGGATTACGCGGTCTTTTAAAATAATATTCCGCACGGTACTCCCACGTACCGTGAAATGTTAATTGTCGATGGGAACGAGTTGCGTTATGCACGGAATTTATACGGTGACGGAAAGATCTCGCTCGTAAATCGCACCTTTAGAGGTCGCGTCCGAAATTAAAATAAACTGTAAATAACGGCGCGGCTATTACACGCTGATGTTTATGGGTTTTACGGGCTTTTAATTAAGGTAGTGATCGCTTTACGTTGCTTTAGTGTTCTACAAATTCATGCGGAGAACGTACATTTGGTATCAATATCGCTTTTGTTTTACGCTAGACCAAATAACTTTCCGATCGCCCAATGCGGATTATCGGGGAGGATTTAATACGGAACAATTACAATAATTTTCGATTTAAACCGTTCGCTCGCTTATCGACCATTTAGAAATTCGCAGTGAAAGAACGTCCGCGGATATTCAGATTATATTTGCGCGATTTGTCTTTTACTTTGCGAACAAAATTTTAACGTTGACAGTGGAAATACGGTTTCGCTGAAATATCTAAAATTTAGCTAGATACAGATCAGAAAAATAGTTTTGTTGAATTACAAAAAAATGATATAGGACGCTCATCTTAGTTTTGCATTTTCTGATTAATTGTAGTTAGATCTCAATGATGATAATATAAAAATTATGTTTTTCTAACTATGATTAGTTAACTATAATTAAATTGATGGTTTTATAATTTAATTTTTAAACTTATTAATAATAAAACATCAATTTAGTGACTGATTATATGTATAGCTATAAACAATTATTATTAAATGAAGTTAAATTTAAACCACAAATTAATCAATAAATAAAAAAATTGGAGCACAAACTGGTTGCTGATTCAAAGTCAAAACTTTTTGCAGTATTTCTCATCATACTATAATGGAGATATTTTGATAATCCAAAAAAATTATTTTATCTGTATCTAGCTAAATTTTTAGATACTTCAGCAGAATTATTATTATTATTTTTTTTTTCATGTAAGAGCTTTATTTTGTAACGCTTCTCTGAAAGATCTTTTCTTGCAGTGTCTAAACCGCCAGTTTCCGCTCATCTGCGATTTTTATCTATCGCGGTGTAGATTAAAAATGTTCCTCTGGGAATGAAATCTGATGAGAACTTGTGTGTAATTGGATTAATGATTCTCGCATTTGTCTGATGATTAACAACAATGCTGCGCCGCGTTGTGTATCTATCTTTACCAGTTTTACAAGACACGTTTTTTTTTCTCTACTAACCCAAAGTCATAAAATTTACGACTCGTTATCGAGCTGCTCTTTGCATTTCCACGCGAGTTCGTCGCTGTTACGTTCGCAAATGCATATTAAATCTTTAGATGCCAGGGATCCTTTGTTGTCCCGCCTGTAAAGGCACGCTGAGCAAAAAAAAAAAGAAATTTAATGGAACGCAATCGGGACGAACACGCTTGCGTCCTCGCCGTCGACAAATTACGAGGTGCTTTTAAATTTCCGCTCGATGCTATTAGACACGCGAGAATAATTTACGAATTGGCAGATTACCAGCCGCGAAAACGATCCGGCGGACAAAGGGATAAATTGCGAAAATTTTCTGCCGCGCGATTTTTCCCTGCGAGATATGATTGCACGTCAGGTGAAGGCTCTTAACGTCGATATGCAAGAGCAGCTCGCGAGACTAATGCATAATTGCATGCATTTCGAGGCATGCCACGTCGCTCGACCGAAATGCGAAAAGTGAGAGGTGCACGAAAAAATAGAAGAAAGACGTGTGATACTTCCCATCAGATTATCATCATCGCTAAAGACAAGAGTACGATAGAAGTATCAGCCAACTGTGGTATTGTTTATGGAAAGTAATTGAAGTTATATTGTAGTTATACATATTGCCAAGAACTTTCCCTGAATAGCACAATAGTCAGTTGATACTCTTGCACTCCTGTTCTATAATTGCTAAAGTGCTATGTGCGCTAAATTGAAGCACGTTGCACAGAGATGTGTTTAAGCGGCGTCAATGGGACTTTAAAGCGTAAAACCTAAGCTTTAAATCTTAAGCCTGAAGAAATTGATCAGTCGAATGTGAGGAGAACAATCGACTATGATTGATCAATTTCTTACAGTTTAAGGTATCTCAAAGTTTAAATTTTATGTCTTAAAATCTCATTGTAGACGCTACTTTACTCGTGGTGAACCGAGAATAAAACTTCTCTCTTATTATAAGATATATGTAACTTTGAAGAAGAGCTTACACATTTTCGAGTCGAGTTTCTAATTTGATAGTGAAAACTGATAAAATCGACGTGTATTTTAATCGAGATCGGTGTAAAAAGGAAATTGCGGTGCCAGCGATGGAATTCGCCATTTTACTCGAAACAATTTGGCGGGGGTCGAACGTGCGAGAGACAATTAAAAAGCAACGCGCGCTCGGTGATCCGCGAGAGTGTTTCACGTTTTCGTCCTATTATTCCTGTCATGCAGCGAGATTACTATTTTACGGCACGGATTATGGTGCGTTTCGAATAGTACGTCCCTTCAATCAAGTAATGTTGCCTTTTGCTTGATAACGAGCAATTGTTCCGCGCGTTATCACATGTCGCTATTCGCCAATCAACTTTGAGAATTGTCCGGCGATCAGTTTTACGATTGTCGTGTCGCGTCTTCTTTTCATAAAAGTAACACACGAAGATAAGCCCGCGAAAAGAAATTTAGCGCAGTAATAGTTTAAAAATAAGAAAAAGATATTGAGAGAAAATTGTATAAATCTGCAGCAGAGAGAAGTTTTTTTCTCCTTCGGACATTATCAGTTATATACTTTAAAAAATATAATCATGGATTTAACACTGATATTTATTTTTGGGGGATGTGTGTTGGGAGATGTTGATACACAGAGAGAATTTTGTTTTAAAATTTATCCCGAAAATATTGTAGTTGCAATATTTTAATACAATATTTTAAAGATTTTTACTATGCATTTCAGTAAAATTAATCAAACTTATTTTATACTTTATTATAGTTTTATTTGAATGAGAAAGATTTACATTAAAATTTTTGGAAATACAATGTTGTCCCACGACTATCATATTTTCAGAGTAAACTCTAAGAAAAAATTCTCTCCATGTAGAAACACCAACTGCTGTGAATTTCACACCATGGATGTGGATTTATCCTTAATAACTATACTCTCTAAACTTTTAGAGTGAAACTCTCACTCTTAATGATTGAAAATTGAGTCACTTTTTTCAAGACTAGCTCAATTTTTATTCTTCAGAGTGAGATTCCACTCTAAAGAATTTAGAGAGTAGCTATAAAAATTACTCTATGCATTTAAAATCGTCCTATTTGAAATACAAAATGAAAACTTTCGCTTTACGGTGATTGATACAGAAACGTTCAAAGCTTTTTTACTTACAATTTAGAATCTCAACACCAATCGTGTAAATTATATCAATTGTCTAAAATTTTTGCTTTGGGTTCAAATGTCCCTTGCTGTAGGATTAAAAATTCATAGGATTAAAAAGTCATTGTGTTAAATTCTCACAATACTGATGTTTACATCAACACTGTGAAAAATCAACTATGGTGTTAAATATCCACACTTATATTTTTTAAAGTGTAGAGAGCAGAAAGTATTAAAAAAAAAAAAGAAATGAAGAATTGCACCTCTCGAATGCGACGCAGGTCGAGCGACACGTTCGTGTCTATTTTCTTGTGTACTCTTTACCGGCATGCATCTCGGAACGATAGAGTATTTTTTCTTTTTTTTTTTCATGGTTGCTAAACACATATGATGACAATGTTTCGGGTATCTGTTGCAGTACGGCAGTCCCGGCTCGGGGTGGCGACATCTTAACGCGAAGTGGCGTTCGCCTAGGTATTATTTGTACATATATACATATACATATACATATCTATATATAATGCACACTACAAATATATTATGTTATATAAATATCGTACACTTCCTCCGCATATCGACCGATCTTATTGCCGCTATGTCATCGCTTTAGAGGCTTAACCCACTTATCCTGTCGTTTACGCGACTGCTAAGAAAATTATTGTGTCTCTCTGTGCGAGGAAATGCGAACGAAAGTAGGACGGCGATGGCGAGATGAGAAACTGCACGTCTATGTTACATGACTCCCTATTCGTTGTACGTATACAATATATGATAACGTCTGTAGCTTCAAATCTGAGAATGCCCGCGTGGACTTCGATTTTTTTATTTCTCTGCGCGTTAAATTAATCAGTCCTTAAGAAAAATGTATTGCGAATATTTACGGATGCAAATAAAGAGGAAATATACAAATAATGCAAATAAGAATGAAATTGCAAGAAGAATCGTGAAGTCCCTTTGAATGTTTAAACTCTCTTTAAATTACAGCTCGAATCAGTTTATTCAACGATAATAGTTGCGAAACTTTCTCGACGATCGTTCCCACTTACGACGCGATCGAGTACCGAGCGTCTCGTGAGATGACCGCAACAGTGCTGACTTCGGGAATGAAATTTGCATAGGATGGACGACTCTAGAGGCAACATTGGCCGTTGACGTTGGGAATCGCCCGTGCTTGGCAATCGTCGAGATCGGAACGCGCAATGTACCGCCGACTACTGTCGCTTAATCGCATTTCTCCGTTTCTCGTTTGCTCGCCGTTACCTCGTCCCTTCGTCTCTCCAACCCCTGTTTTACATCCCCTCGCGACGCTGTACATATTCGCCGTTCGTGCTGCATGAGTGTCGTCCATGGAGTACATATATATTTGTACAATATACTTCTCTCTCTCTCTCTCTCTCTCTCTCTCTCTCTCGCGCTCTCTCTTACACGCGCACTGTGGGTGGTTCGATTACATTGCAACGTGCGACGTACGATTCTAGAAATTGGATGGCAGGACAATTCCGGCGATGCCGTAGCTCACGTGACAATACTGAATTAATTGTTGTCCCAAATGCGTGCGTAGAAGTAACGCGAACTTTATCACGAAGCCTTTAATTTCTCCCAATGTCAAACCAAGGAAATAAATAATTGTTATTACACCTGCATGCATAAATCCCGTCCTTACTTTTGAGATTTGCGAGTTGTATTATTATTCGAGATGTTTTAAAGCTGATGCTAGATATCGTTTTAGTAGAACTTTTCTTTTCTTGTAGAAGATGTTTCAAGATGCGCTGTTCCACTTTGTTAATATCCAATGTTAAATATTTATGAAATTGACGTTATTACTTCTTCTTAATATTTAGAATTAAATATTTTGATACTTAAAGCTTATCAACCGTAAAGAAATTCAGAATTAATGTAAAAGAATTTAACGTTAAGATAAAATTAATATCTGAAGGTTTTAAGGTATTTAAGCGTTAAACGATTCAAAGAAGTAAAGGATCCCGGAATTATGTGGAAAATTAGGTTCTGATGAAATAAATTAGTTTTTAGGTATAATATATCTTATAATGTGATAAAGATAAGAGATGTGACAAAAGCTCAATGATGTATCATAGTTTTTAAGCTATGATGTATTTAAGGTGTAAAACTATATCTAGTATTCACTTTAAATAGCCTGTAATTTAAAAACTATCCATTATTGAACTTTGTTCACTACATTATAAATCTTATTATACATACACTGGAAAGAAAAAACTAAATTTTAATAAATATTTGAAACACTCGTCTAAGTAAACTTTTACTAAATATAAACATATATTTATTTAACACGAAAACCATTAATGTGATTTAACTATTATTTTTTTATCGAATAAATATTTATTTATGTAAGTAATTGTCTACTTCAAAGAAATATGTATTAAGATTTAGTATACATTTTTTTTTCAGTATCGAAACTAACTTATTTACCGTGGACTGAAAACATGTTTTTCCTACATGTTAAAACTAAGTTCCTCGTTTCTAATTCCACAAATCTAATTCCTCGCCCCGTATTTATTGCATCTGGTGCCCTAACTCTTACGCTCCACGATAACATCCGAAATATCTAGCGAGCGAGGTATATTTTTCGCGAGGCGCCACCCCCGTTTTATCGGCGTGCGTGCCGATCTCGCCATGATCGCGGTGATTAAGCGCATGCAAGCTTGTAACGCGCGCGAGGGCCGCATGTTACTTGATATAATGGCACGCTTAGGCACCGTGACTTTTTTCAAGCTTACCCCCGATTAGCCGCTGTTTTGTAGCTCGAGCTACCCGGAATCATTCTTGCGGTTAAACGCGGGCTGCAATCCAGAAATCTTGCCTTCCCGTCCTCTAAAACGTAGTTCAATCTCGGTACCGAACATGCGAGGGCTAATTTTGCATCGTATTGAAAATGATCTTAACAGTGCGCTTGAGAGAATTATTAATAGACGACATTACAACGAAGTTTAGATGCTACAACGGATCATGTACGTCGTGTATTTTTATTTATTCTGCATATTACATACTGATATGTATATTTACGTATTTTTATTTAGGAATGCATTATTAATCAACTTTGTGTCCAACATCTCTTTATACATATTTGATTTAATTTACACGTTTGCATCCCCCAATGTAGGCACTGCAGCACAAACCGTGTATTATAGCAAAGGTAGTTTGGTAGTATGATATAGTTAACACAATCACCATCTATATATTTGTAGATATATTAAATTGATAGAATAGTGTATGTGTCTAATGCGTTAACAATGTGTTAACCAATAGTATTATATACTATTATACACGTAATTAGAACGTGAATTAGATCTACTTTAATAATAATTGACAAGTTAATGCACACCGTAAAAGCATGAAGAGTCATACTTTTACTGATCAAGTGAACTAATTTATTAAACGAGAGAAAAACACCCCCTGATGATCGGATAGCGTGGTATCGTACAAAAATATACGCGAAATGTATGTATAAGATATATGTTGAAAATATTATTCATCGCAAAATAAAAATATTTGTCGTGGATATTGGAAACGCCTAACTTAGTGTTGTTTTTGGAATCATTCTATGAGATTCACATCTCACCGAGAGATTACAGGATTTTCCAATTTAAATCGTCGTGTCGCAGGACGCTTATCGTTCATTTTTCTTTCAGAAAGGTGCTGAATTTTCCGTAGTGTACAATTTCAAAAACATTGACCTAATAGAAAAAAAAAAATTTATATACATGTACAGTATTACGAAATGCAGAGAAACGCGGAAAACAAGAGAATCGACGAAAAGAGTTGGTTGTACGCAGTTCTGCCGGAAAAATAATGGAAGCTTCAATTACCGAATAGATTGCCTCGAATTTCTATCGCCGGGCGCTATTCTTCCATTTTACCCTTTCTTTCCTTCCACCCCCTCCCCTTTATTATTTTTTTTTTTTTCGTTATTTTAGTATCTGCCTGCCAATTTTACAAAACAAAGTAGCACGCGATTCGTCATACACGAGCGCCGGAGCAAATTGCGAGTTTTTATATGTATTCATCCAAACGTGTATGAATTCGCACCTACGCATATGTAAACGTACTGACTACAGCAAATATTTTTCCGTTTTCTCCATTAGGATCTGTGTATCATGCAATTTAATTAGTGACCCCTAGTTCAAAAATTTCAGTCTCGTTTATCGTTTATTTAAATACATAAATCAATAACACAATACAGGCTGTCCCAAATATATTAATGTGTACCTCAAATATACTCTCTAAATTCTTTGGAGTAGAATTTCATTCTCCAGAGAAAAAAAAAAAATAAAGAGACGTAAGAAAAAAATAGCAATCTGTAATCACAATTTGTTTTCTCTAAAACCTTTCTAAAGAAGTTTCTTTAAATGAAAATTGAACCCGTCTCGAAAGAGAGTGGCTCAATTTTCAATCTTTAAGAGTGAGATTTCACTCTTCACAATAAGATTCATTCTAAAAGTTTCAGAGCAAATTATGATTACACGTTCCTATTTTTTCCCAACGTTTTTTCTCTTCTTTCTCTTATAGTTACGTAACATATTTTCACAGTCACGTTCAAAAATAGATATTTGGGACATTTTAAAATGAATCTCTTCTCTCAACAAAGATTTCTGTATATAACAATTAATTAAAAATTATCGTCGGAATCGCATGGTGATGCATCGAGTTCGTAGAATTCTCATTATGGGACGAGCGAATGCGACTTCTATCGGGCGGGTCGAGGCTTTCGTCGGCTTTACTTATCTCGGCTACATCCCGCGAGCGGATTTCTTCGGCAACGAGAGCTTGCAAAATCACAGGCGCGCGCTTGCAACTGCAGTGGTAATGATAAAGCGGATTCAGTCGCGACTTCGGAAGTGCAGGGAGACACGAAGATAGAGAACGAGAGGGAGGGAAAAGCCTCGTTTTACGGTGCATTAAATTCTGACGAAGTGGCTCGTCCTGTATACCGACGCGGGGGAGGGCGATCTGAATTATCCTGGAACAGATAAACAGACCGCCGACGAGGTGGAGGAACCATCAGGGAGGGTCCGGAGGATAGAAAAGGAAGAATAGGACGGAGCGCCATTTCTGAAGAGGTTGTAGCGATGTTTCGTGGCCGAGAGGAAGGTGTGTGAAGAACGGAATGGATAAGAGAAACAGTAAGGAAGTATGATGGAAGTACTTTAGAATTTTCGAAGAGGGAAGATGAAATCTAGGGACGCGTCAATCGAGCGTGAAAAGCTCGATGACTGTCCCGGGAGTTTCACGAAGGAGTTACCTCATCCACCTTTTTTACACGTTTCATAAAGAAGTTGTCGTCGCATTGTCGATTTATCTGTTTTTTTTTTTCCCACCGATAGTTTGGCCGTAATAGTTCGATCGTGATTGCTGGAATTTATTTGTCACAATCACTTTGTGATAAGCGATCTTTCGTGCAAAAGTAGTTTTACTGAGAGAAAAATATTTCGTATTTATATGATTATAATTGCATGATAAAGTAGTTACAGCTAGGAGCTTCATTTTTTAAATTATTATTGCTATGTGTTAGTTATTAATAATTGTATGTAGATCTGTATATCAAATAAAATACATAGTTGGCACTAATAATTATAATTTTATAATTCGTAGTTATTTTCGATTGCCAATTAAATCTTTTTGTAAAGAATTATAAATACAATTATTTTTATTATCATTATAATGACTATATCGAGTTCTTAACTATAATTATTTTACTATTCGATTATAGTATAATAAATACGAAACGCTTTTCTCTCACAAAAAAAATCAGTGTAAACGAAAAATGAATCGCTTCTTTTTCCAAAAGAGAGAAAAATATGCATGCATTTTGCGAAATTTCCGAAAATTGTAATCACGTTTATAATATTTATATAAATCAACCGCGTAACCCCATTCGGGAAAATCCGTATTAACGGATGAAGTT